CTTTTTTCTCCCTGCCAGCCGATGAACGGAATTAATGCTCGTATATTGGCCCCGTGTTGCGAGGAAACTTGCCTCCAAAACGTGTATTGTCAACTTTGCTCGTACCCACGTTTAGTTTAGATTTCGTTGTTCAACCGTTGCGTTTAAAATGGATGATTTTGGTGTTTAACTCTTTGAGGACATCGAACGTTAATATCTATCCAAAATCGAAAGTTACAGTGATTTAATTATTGAACTAACGAAAGATCAATCTGTACATTTCTTTTTCTAGTATTTAAAAGTTTGTAATTCAGCTTGTTATGAAAAACTTCTTAACACCAACGAATCTTCGTCTGCAAATGATTATCGGGGTATTTTTGAGTTTCTTTTATAGATTATTCTATTTCTCTCTGTTTATTCTATACTCTACCGTTTCTTCTAAGTGAATATACTCTAAAAATCGTTACAAATTTTGAATTTAGACACTTCAGATTAGAGGAAGTAGAATCTTGTAAAAGTTAGAGTTCGAAAGTTTCAGATTGTATATACATGTTTCCCTTCATTTGTAGAATTTACAAAATTGTCCCCTTGTTTCGTTCACTTTACACTTCCGAGTGAATATAAATAAACGGAATCCGTGTGAAGCTTCGCAGAAACCAGTTGTGCTCCAGGCAATCGTGCAGCAACAATTAAATGCCTTTCGAAAAGGGGAAAAGCTTGCGCGATTCGGAAAGCGGAGAAGGTAAATATTTCAAGAATTAAAGCGGCGTGGCGTTGAAGTTCTACTTGTCTCGGCGGTGAAATAATTTTCGTTCCCTCGGAAACGCCGTCGACCCCAATTTTTCTCCGCGCCACGTTCCGGTTGCTTTTGAACAATTTCTAACGAAGGAACTGCTATTGTTTCGGCGGGGATGAGAAACGGGAATAAAGAGGAAACGCGTCGAGCAACGTGGTCACTTCATGAATGTCGGGCACCCGCCGACTCTTCCGAGCCGCCTCGGAGAATTTATACGGTTCCCGGAGATTTATGAGAAAGCAAATCGCTCTCAAAGACGTCAGACCTGCGGAAAAAATCTATTAAGCGCGGTTCGATCTGCCTTGATTTATTATTCACGGGAAAACTCGGGTTTGCTTGAATAGTGAAAAGAGCGGTTCGAACTTAATAAAGAATAACGCGTTATTAGGGGCAAGGCTACGCGGAATCAATATAAAGGTCAGGCGAATGAAAAGAATTCGCTCGGGAGAAATTCCTTTCAAGAAAATCCTTTTACTTTCTCAGATTTGAGTTTTGCGCTCGCCTCGTGTCGCCTCGTGAGACTTACAACACTCTAGATTGTGTAATTATCATCTGAAATTATTTTACGAAATTTGACATTGAAAATATTCGGAAAACGTGATTAGAGGATCTCAAAATTGACACGTGAGATTGCGTTTTCTTCGAACTCTGTTTTAAAAAACTACAAGAAAAATTCGAGATGTATTCTATGTCGATGTTCATTCTATTAATAACGGAAGAGTAATATTTAATTTGAATTCAAAAGAATTGTGTAATATTCATCTTCGTTAAAGCCTGTTTGAAATTATCACCAGTAGTCTGACACGATATTGTAAGTTCAAGGGTTTAATCGAATGCTTTAATACTGAAATTACCAAGCAGTTACATTGATATTTTGAAATTTCTCTATAGAACTTCTAAGATTACATCTATTGAGACTTTAATTGATTTACAATTCACGTTGATTATTGCTAATCAATTTCTTTAATAATTTCTTAGAGAAACATCTGTTACCTTTTTAATAATTGCAAAAAGGTGACCCCAGAAATGGGTCATTTTAACCTGTCTGGTAGTTTTAGTGTTAACCCTTTGCAACCCTTCGGAAGTTTTTCACTAGAAATATTTTAACATTTTCTGATAAGGAACAAAGCTATTTTATTTCAATATTTTTCAAATTGATGCGTTATATACTATAATATTAAATATCAAATTTTATAGCTTTACAGTGTGAAATCAGGTGGTGGGTGAAAGTCACCTCTCAAGTGCAAATGGTTAAAATTCATAAAGCAATTTGATGAGACGCTTAAATAGGCAGATTAGATTTCTCTGTTGCGAATATTACGCAATGAAATGGAGAGTTATATTAGATATATCCGTCGCTTTCCTCGAGCGACCATAACTTCGAATGATGGAACGTTACGCTTTAGCCGGCGGGTATTTGGCGGTTTCTCGAGATTCCACTGACCATTCCGGTACGATGGCCAATCGGCCTAGTTCGCATTTGGCTTCCTCCTCTAACGGAACGAGTATTTCCGTTCACTGCAGGGGTGGTTAGCCCGAAGCCGGCCAACTTCGCGAGACACAATGCCACTTAGCACCAATTTTTGTGATTCTGAAAGACCATGTACGTTACCTTCTCTCTGCCCATTAAAAACAGCGTGGCCCGTTCGTTACATTACACCGGCATGACCTTGCAGCCATTTATAAAGTTCTCCACGTAAAAATTTAAAGCATACAATAGTCACCGGACGTAATTCATTTCCCTGCAATTATTCCGTTCGCTGTTTACTTTGCGTCTGGCGTTTAATCGTCGTTGTTTTATATGCATAAAAACAGACGCAGTAATATTATCAAAATGCTCGTAAAGGGAGTGCATTGCACGAAAACACAATTATCAGACTGCAGATCTTCGTCTGTATAATTTACAGAACTCATTAAAAAGGAGTGAGATAAATATTCGAATAAAATGTCATCCCACTCTCCATTAGCTTATTAAAATGACCAAAAACTAAATATCAATGTTAACATTGCCGTAGTGAAAACACGGCGACATCCTCGAAAATTTCTGGAAACAGAAGCTCTCAAAAGAAGTCTTTTTCACTGCAGTACACAACGAACGTTGCAGTTTTATCGTAACACTTTATATGGCACCGACCTACAGGATTTCGTTTTCACCGAATATAAAACAGAAAAAGAAATAGACAGCGTTTAACAATAATTTCTATCCTACGGCCAGCCATCGCATTATTCGCGACGTTAACAGCATTCATCGTTAATCCTGTCGAAACTCTTCCGTTTGGCGTCGCGTGCCCCATTCCTCCCCATTATCCCGAAGTTGCGCGAAAACGCGCGGACATCGGTCTGGTCCTGGCCATTTCCGTTTTCGTTCGATCCGTCGGGTCTTATCGGCCCCCGCGCGCACCCCTGCCCGTAGATCGTCTTTTTTCCAACCCTCCCGCTGCCAGCTTCTCCGTTTTGTTTCATTTCCCACTTCACATATTCATACAGCGCTCTTTGCTTACAATAAATGCGGACCATTTGCATGTAGGGTCTCCGCTCGGGAACACACCCCTTCCATCGCTTTCGACCCCTCTCGCCATTGCTCTCTTGCACTTGCTCGCC